AGGAAGTGGAAGAAAATAAGCCATTAACATCAAGACAATCAAACAGATAACAATCAAAGAATAGAGAGAGCCTTGAAGAATCATCAGATACAAACAACTACTGAAACCAAAAAAGTGTCCAATATGACAGAAAACTGATCTAACTTAACGGGCGAGACAGGCGGTTAGTTCCTAGCAGATTCCAATCTAATCCATGGAGACAAAGCTAATCAATATCTATCCTAATGGCATCAACGGAGACAAAGCTAATCAGTCACATCATCAGAGTAGGAGAAAACAGTTGATAGACTTGAAAATTCCCATCACCGAGTTGGTTGTTAAAGAAATATGATCGATTGGCAACAATGTGTACCAATCCAAGTAGCATTGGAGCCAGAAATATGATCAATTGGCAACAATGTGTATCAATCCAAGTAGCTTTGGAGCCTTGCATAATTAATAACCCAAAGGACTATGTAAGAACGTATGCTCACAAAACAAGTGAAAACCCATTCAAAGAAACGTCATTAAGATTCTTATTGAAACACTAACTGCCATAATTTACAAGAAACCACAAGCTGTGAAAAACAGTCGGAGGTTTCTATTACAGGGAAGGAAAGCGGAAAACAGTTACAATCATCATCAATGCTTTAGCCAAATTGTACAGAAGTAACTAAAAGTCTCACACTTCTACAAATACTTGGTAATTCTCTTCAATTTCAATTAGTACGCTGTCCATTTTCAACACCGAGACCATACAAAACACCTGCGTATTTCTGTATAGATCCATTGAAAAAGGTATTCCTTAACTTCCTAAAAGTAGAGGCAGTAAGCAGACTATCTGATCCTGCTTGATGACAAACTCCAATCCTCTCCACTTCTAATAACTCCGCAAGCTTGTTCAGCCCACCATGAAGACTGTTGCAGAACTTCATCAAATGCTTGATATCATAAACCACTGGGAAATAGACATTGATCAGGTCAAAGAATCCGTCCTGCTTTTCTGGTAAGCCTCGGCAAGTGAGCAATTTCAGCAAGTAACCGAAATCATACCCACTGTGGAACGTAACCCAGTTCACATCTGCGTTTAACACAACCCCAGAAGACATTAGAAGCTCACCAAAACGATTGACATCGATACCCTCTTCATTGTTCTTCTGAAAATCAATACCACACTGGCGCAGAAGCTCAATTGAATCACTAGCAAAAATATCACTAACAATATTGAACTCGCGGAAATTGAACTGCCAAATACAAAAGCTATCGGTTCCACAAGTCGGGAGATTTCCATTCTCGTCAGAGAACGTAAGACCCAATTGAATCAACTTCAACATGTCAACATTATCCTTAAGAGTCTGGTAGTTGTAATCATTGATATTCTTGAAGGCACCCAACGGGCGAAGCACCACTCCAGGAAACTCAGTATCCATGGCTATGTAGTTAAATTTATCAACAATCTCACGGATTAGCGCAAACTCCTCCTCCAAATTATCGTTCCAAACCTCACGGATTTGAATGGAATCGCCTTTCGGTAAAATCGACATCCCTCCAAGGTGAACTCGATAAGAGCGACAAAACGACAAAACCCTAAGTGAGAGAACAAAAAATAGACGACGAACAGGGCTCGGGATCTGAGAAGAAACAGATGGGGCGTCGGAAAACCAGCGCCAGAGTAAGAACGGCAAAGAAAAGCCAATAGATCTGAAAAGTAGAGGGGAAAAGAAGGGATTAAGTAGAGGAAAAGCGGAGAGAAGAGAAGGAATGGAGTGTTGATAGAACCCTAGAAAAAGAAGTGATTTAAGCAAAGAAAAGGGAAGTGGGTGGGCAGATCTGACCTTGAAATTGTGAAATTGATGGCTGAAAATCGCAGATCTAGAAGAAGAAAGTTGTAGATTTAGAGGTTTGGTAGAAATGGAAGAGCAGCGTCGTCTAGGTTAACCAAGGCGAAGGAGAGGATGAGCAGCGCAGCCGCAGCAGCAGCACACAGACACAGGGTTTCACACAGTTCGGCTAAGACCCATCCTCCCCCTAAAACATTACCTGGAAAAATTCAGGTTTACACTCACCAAACCCCTCTATCCGACGTCGTTTCATATCCATCGATTAAACGACGCCGTTCTCACTTCCCCCCTTCAATATTCCCCCCTCCTTTTCCTTTTTCTTTTTAATTTTAAACTTTATTCGCTATATAATATCTTCCCATTTCTACTTTTTATTATTATTTTTTTTTTTCCCATTTCAGCTTATCCCTCCTGGCTTCTTAATTTGTTCTTTTTTTTTAAATAATTTAAATTTCTAAAAATTATATAATTTTAAAAAAAAATAATATATAAAAACTGATATTCTAATAGTGTATTATTTAAGTCAGTTTACAGTGCAAAGCATGTGACTTTTTTCCTTGCCTAAAAGATGACACGTCATATACCAATCCATACATATTTAAAAATTACTATAATCTTTGATTTCAAATAAATACGAAATTAATTTGGTGGGTCAACTTGCCACGTGTCATTCTACGTAGAAATCAATTGGTGAACAATGAACATACTCCAAACTATCCAACTCACGACTTTATTATCACATATTAAATAATAACAATAATAACCTATAAATATACACAAATATAGAGAATAAAAAACAATTGTTTTATTATTTTTCTTTACATACAAAATAATAAATTATATTAAAAATCGCATATTTTATTTTTTTCATTTATCTTTCACAAACGTCTTAATTTTAGGCTTTTAGTTTTTAAGAATCAATAAATCGAACTTGTTTAGTAATTATTTTTAAATTTTTGTATCGTATTTTATTGGGCCACTTCTCGAAACAAAACGGCCCAATAGGAATCGGCCCGCCAAAAGTTGGCCCAAACCGAATTATTTTCTTTTCTATCTTTATTATTATTATTATTAACAATAATAATAATAGCTATTGTGAAGAAAATCAAGGGCTACATTAGGAAAGCAACCGGTAGAAACGGTTAAAGAAAAATAGGCTTTGCAATTGGGTGACAGGTCATTTTGCCAAAAGCATTCTAATCATTGCCAGCTGTGAACTCAGGCAATGGAATTTTAATTATTCATTCTCTTTTTTATAATTTTCTATTTGTTTTTTATTAAAAAAAAATATAGGGTTTTAGGAAATAATTTTTGTTGATTAGAACGCTAACCTGCGTTAAGTTTGTAATTAAGGGGTAATAAGACAATGAAGCATGTAAATTAATAAAAATATTATTGAAAATAGATCACGTACACATTTATGATTTAATTTAATTTATTCCACTATTATTATTATTTGCTTCAATTATATTTTTTAAATTATGAACTAATATAATTTAATTTTTTATTCAAATCAATCCATTAATTTATAATAAAAAAAATATTATGAATGATGCATTTTGTGGAAGCCCAAATCAAAGTCACGGGAATTTATGCTCAAAGTGGACAATATCATACTATTGTGGAGAGTCATGTTCGTCTAATATGATAGCTGGAAGCTCAAATCAAAGCTATGAAATGTAAGCACATAAAAAAAATAAAACATAAAATTGTGGACACAAGGTTGAGATGAGTAAGGCGACAACGTAGATGAACTTGCAACTATATTGTGGGTCTTAACTTTGTTCATATGCGTGCATAATTGGTTGGCATATGCTGCTAGATATCTATGAATTTAATAATAAAAGCTTTGAATGTTGTTTAAGACAAATTTGGAGCGTTAAAATTAAAGTTTTATAGATTTAAGATATAATATTCTTTAATTTAAAATTTTAATAATTTTGTTTTTTCAATATTTATCTGTCAGTAACACCGTTTAAATAATCACATAAACAATAACAATATGTTATACGGTAAGAATATTTTAAATTTTATAATTTAAAAGTTTGGATAATATCTTTAAATTTAAAATTAAAGAATTTATATATATATATTATAAATTTAGAGGGAGTTAATTATATTTTAAAAAAAATCCATGTATATTTTTCTAAAAAAAGAAACTAATTATAGAAATATTAAATATGATTATAAATTAACTCATTATAATATATATATATATATATATATATAAATATAAATATATGTTTTTCGAGTGTCAGAGCTTGGTTCTTGGGTGCCCCATCCACGTTTGAATGTCTCGTAGAACCCAACGCCAGAAAATAAAGTGCCTGAAAAAGATAAAAATAAATAAAAAAAAAAGAAAAAGAGGAAATACTTTTGACAGCCAATGGTCCTTGAGGGACCCACTCCGATTGGGTGGTTTTCACGCAGATGATTGAGGTGGACGGTAAGGACGGTGCAAATGACCGCACACTATTCAAACCCACCCCTCCCCCATTTCCTCCATCCCTATTAAAACATGCCCACGTCACCTTTGTAATGAAAATTAAATTTATAAATTTATTAAAATTGTCTTTTTTTCTTTTTTAAATTATTAATAATCTAAGAATGTCTTAAATAAATGCGAAAACTATAATTAGTTGTTATTTTAATTTTTTTTTGAAACGCGCGACAAATAAAACAAAATTAGTTGAAAAGAAACATATTTATATTTATATTTTATTTTTTGAAAAAATAAATTGTATACTTTTTTATGAGAAATGGATAAATATTTGGAGTTTTCTTCGATTTAATGTATTTATTTTGGTTATAAGTTCGAGCAAATTTATTTAATATTATTTCATTGAGCATATATTTAGTAAAAAAATAAAAAAAATAATAAACACTGTATTTATTTTGAATTAAAAATATGATTAAATTGTAGAATAATATTTTTTCTAGGGGTAAACGAAAAGGAACAGAAAACACGTTGCGAAATTAATTAGATTATGATTTTTTTTTATTTTAATGCGTTTTATTTCGGAGGCCTACCAACAAACCACACACACCACTAAGTCACTAACACATTAAAAGTATTAATAATATTATTATTAGTATTTAAAAATTGAAAAAATAAATAAATAAACTCTCTCTCTCTCTCTCTTTCTCTCTGTCTTATAAAAAGGAACCAAAAAGAAGAGGAAAATCATTGGGCTCTCTGTTACAGTTGAGGGAGTGCGGGATTTCCAAGGACGAAGAAGAAGAAGAACAAGACGATCCTTTCTGAAACTGAAAACCACTGTTTTGGATTATTCCGCCACCGCCACCGCCACCGTTTTCGGGTTCTTCTTATGTTTTTTTGCTTTGCAATGTAGTGCGCTGTAAGATTGGTTATAGGGTAATGGCCAAGTGTCAGTCCAACAGCCTTGGATCATTGGTAATCGATGGTATCGCCGGCGCCAATGCAGGTACTCGACACTTCCGGTTTTGTACTGCGTTTTCTGGAGCTGCATTCCGTCGGAGAATCTATGACGCTGTTAGTTGCGGTGGGAGTTCTCGGTACGGCCATCGGTACAACGATGAGATGATGGATGATGAGCAGAGCACGGGGAACAGATCGGCTTCGGAGACTAGGGATTTGAAGGAGGCGGAGCAGCCGAGGAATCTGAAACTGGCTAATGGAAGATCCGAGAAGCTTGTGGATCTTTTGAATTTGGCGGAGTCGATGGAGACGGAGAATGAGGAGGAGACTAGAAGGAAGGAGGAGGAGTTGGAGGAGTTGAAACGCACGGTGGAGGATTTGCAGGCGGAGGATTTGGTGAGGCGAAAGTCGGCGGCTAGCAAAGTGAGGCTTATGGCGAAGGAGGATTTGGTAATACGAGGGACGCTTGCTCTTCTTGGAGCCATTCCTCCTCTCGTTGCGATGGTTGATTTGGAAGATGAACAATCTCAGATCGCTGCGCTTTACGCACTGCTAAACCTTGGAATTGGCAACAATGCGTAAGATTCTTTAGGATTCCATTTCTTCACTCTTCATACTTGCCAGTCGATTTTCATTTTCTCTGTTCTCAGTTTCTAACTCTCCTTGAAAATTCCCCTCGATTTCAACCTATTGCATATTGTTTCCTGCATGCATGTTTTAGTTGATTTACTCGATCCATATATTTCTTAATTTCCCCCACATTTTCCATTACCATCTCTGCTTTTCTCCTATTTCTGTCACTGTCTTTTCTGAATTATGATTTCTTGAGGGGACTTCTTCCGCTTTTCGCTTCCGTTCAAAATGGCAAGTCAGAGTAGCAGTCTCTTTGATAATTGATCCAACTCCTTTCTTCTGGTAAAAACCAAAACAGAGACCATGTACTGCGCTGCATATTTCGAGAAATAGCTTCTCGTCTCCCTGCTGCTGCTTTTCATGTACCCTTCTGGGGAAAAAGATAATAAAAACGTAGCAATTTCCTTATTTCTTTCGTCTTCCAGTTATAAATTTCAATGTGTTAAACCTCAATTTTTGTATCAAGTAAGTTCTTAGTACTCCATTGACGTTGTTTTGTCCTAATCATTGCAGGAACAAGGCAGCAATTGTGAAAGTGGGGGTCATCCACAAAATGTTAAAGCTCATTAAATCAGAGAGTGCATCAAACTCATTGGTTACGGAGGCAATAATTGCAAACTTTCTCGGCTTGAGCGCTCTGGACTCGAACAAGCCCGTAATTGGATCGTCCGGTGCGATTCCCTTCTTGGTCAAATCCCTACAAAACACCGACCATAAAATTAGCAATCAGGCTCGGCAGGATGCTCTAAGGGCGCTCTTCAATCTCTCAATTGCCGCATCAAATATCTCAATAATATTAGAAACGGATTTCATCCCATTTCTTCTTAACATGTTAGGAGACATGGAAGTGAGTGAAAGGATCCTTTCAATTTTAAGCAACGTGGTATCAACCCGAGAGGGTAGACGAGCAATAAGCGTCGTTCCAGACGCGTTCCCAATATTAGTTGATGTATTAAACTGGACAGATTCACCTGGGTGTCAAGAAAAGGCGTCCTACGTTTTAATGGTGATGGCACACAAGCTATATGGTGAAAGACAGACAATGGTAGAAGCAGGATTAGTATCTGCTTCTCTTGAATTAACGCTCTTGGGTAGTGCATTGGCTCAGAAAAGAGCATCCAGGATTTTGGGGTGCCTGAGATATGATAAAGGGAAGCAAGTTTCTGAAAGTTTTGGTGGGAATCTGGGTGTTGCACCAGTGTCTGCTCCCATTATTGGGACTTCATCTTCTTCAAATTGCAATTCAGATTCTAAAAGGTACCCAGAAGAATCTGAAGAGGCCATGAGCGTGGAGAAAAAGGCGGTGAAGCAACTAGTCCAACAGAGTCTACAGTACAACATGAGGAAAATTGTGAAGAGGGCCAATCTGCCTCAAGATTTTGCTCCTTCAGAGCATTTTAAGTCGCTTACTGCGAGTTCAACTTCGAAAAGCCTACCATTTTAGCATAGTAGACTACCATGTTAGATCTGTACCTAGTGTCATCATCAGGAAGAAGTTAGCCTCCTCTTTTAAGTTATTAAATAGCAGTCAGTTTCGTTAGAGAAGTGGTTTAGCCTTTTAGTTCTTTGGTTAGTGTAAAAATTAAATAAAGGACCTACCTCTGTTTCCAAATTCAATCCTCAGACAACAACCAGATCCAGAACCAAATACCTCGATAGCTTCCTCGGCCATGGAATTGTCTGAAAATTGAAAATTCCAGTGGCTGTTTTCACTGAGCGTAACAAAGCTTGGGGCACTGCTCAGTGGGCCATGTTCAACTCACCATCACAATCCACCCTACCTCGGTGGCCCCTTTAAAATGTAATGTAATGTAATGCATGTCTCATATTTTTCCTTTGCTGGCCAGGCCTCTTGAAACGAGTGTCGGTCGCTTTCACGTGCTTTTTTACACTCAACAAGTTGGGTTGTGAGATTCAAATCTCGAGCATGTCTTTACCAATTGAACTATGTTCAAATTAACGTATTGTCTCATCCATTTTTTAACCATGCACAGATCTGGAGCAGGGAACTTGCTGAGCTGTTGTTGGCAGAGGCAAAATAATGTGGAAGGGATGTCTTGAGCACGAGGTATTGTTTTGTAAATATAGAATTGAGTGAACTCATTATTCTATTAGTGCTGCAGTTCTGTCTTATTCTTTACTTTTGTGATGGCCCCATATTGTATATTTTTCTCCTGTTGGCCTGTAGCAACTTTAGATCATATTTTTCTCTACTGTGAACAGTTTGTGAACCCTTGACCTGTAATTCCATGTGGTTTGACAAATTCATCTCACAGCTGTGATATGAAATGGTTAGCTATTTTCTATGTTCAAATTCTGCTGGGTTGATCTGCTAGTGGGGTCTCCTTTTATTAATGTCGTTGAAAAATTCCAATCCCATCGTACATCACAAGATTAGCTGTGTAACGATAACAAAATCTATGTGAGACAAAAGGACTTTTCTCACTAGTGGAAGTAAAGATTAATAATTTGAACTTTTGAATCGAAACCTCTAGTGGATGGACTTATTATACGATTCCAAAAGGAAATCATACAAACTAAATGTACTAGAGCTAGGCAACTAAACCCGTAGAACGAGTTCTTGACACAAATCTCTGCTCATCATTTTTCTTCACTAGAGACGACTCTGATCCAAAGAAACATGTGGTTTCTAAATCCATTGAGATGACCCAGGAATTTCACTATTTCGATTTTTCTAGTCCTTTAGAACACTATATGAGTGAGATCTTCCTTCCCCATCTTAATTACCAAGAACTTCATTGCCACTAATTAGAAGCTAATTTGTAATAGCTACCGTATCTTCTTATTATTATTTGATAAGATAGATACAAGTCCTTGCCCGAGATCCAGAGATCCAGTAAATGGATTTTAAGGTTTGAACTCTAGGACAGTTGCATATTTAATTGAGGTAGAGGAAAAGAAAGGGCAGAGGACCACCGGAAACTATTAGAGTATAGGTGAGGATAGAAATAGGTAAGTGCTGCCCATTAAAGAAAAAAAAGCAAAAAGAGGTACTCATTACTAATCTTTTAGTTATTTTCCCATCAAGTATTATTGCCCACTTTTATATCTCACATATCATCCTAATTCTTTTTTTTAATCACTTTAAAAAGTGATTAAAAAAAATCTTGTTCTTTTTGTTTTTTTTTTTTTTGGAGTATAGCAAGTGTAAATTTACTTTTTCTTTTAAATTCAAAATTTAATGTTGTGGTTGACTCGGTTTAAAAAAAAAATGGTTTTTTCTTTTCTTTTTATTTTTTAAAAATATAATTGGTATGGTGGGGTTTTAATAATATTTGAATATTAGAATAATTTGGGTACCCATAGTCGTGGTGACATGATTTGTGAACTAAAATGTCCATGTGCTCACGACTTGGCTGCCATTTGCCATTTCAATTCTCAGCTAATGTTTAGCATTTTTAGGCAACTTTTTCTTTTTCCCAAGATGCTTTTTGCGTCACCTTTTCCTTTCCTTTTCTTTCTTTTTAACTAAAAACTTGTCCGACACTTTCTTAGCTAATGTTCAATTGCTATAAACTCTAAAATAAAACAAAATAAAATCGATATCAACTAGTCATAATGGGAGGATTCAATACTTTTGTCTTCGTTAAGGGTCGGTGATTTTTTGTGATTTTTTTTTCTTCCAAGATGGTAAATATTTGAATTTCTGACATTTTAGTTTATTTTATATAGCATTATTATTATTATAGATCTTTTAGTTTACTTTATGGTAATAACTTATGGTAAAATTTAGGTGCCTGGGTGTTTATGGTCATTGCCACGTCGTTTGAAATATTCACTCAAAGTAGGGTAAAAAATGTGGGATGATGAAAGTCCTACAAAGTATTCACTCAAAGTAGTTTTAAAAGTGTTCACGATGAAAGTCCCGAAATGTTCATTGGTTTACAATCAAATAATACTCTCTCCATAGGTATGAGGTGTTTTGGAAAGCCCAAGACAAAGCTATGACAGATTATTCGTGGACCAACCCAAACCAAAGTTATAAGAGCTATCATATTCAAGAGTCGTGCTCATCTAACCAAAAAAAAATTGCATGCATGAAGGGCAAATTGTAAGGGTGTGGGTGAGGCTCCAAGATTAATGGAGGGCATGCAGACAAAGGAAGATGGAATGTGGGTGTACAGTGGTAGAGCACAGCTGACATTGTCGGAGATGGGGATATGTATGATTGAAGATGAAATTAAACAAAGCCACCCTTTTGAGCCACACCTGCAAATGCATTGCTTTTCCTCTTACATTTCTCATCATCTTTGGCATCTTCTCTCAACTATGAATAACCTTTTACTCTGATTTTGATGCCTTACCCACCAATATATATATATATATTTTTTTTCCTATCTCCCTGTCCTTCCCTTCTTCAATATCGTCTTTAGCTTATTCGATGTCTTTATCTATTAAACTATATTTAAATTGAAAAATTCAATTCATATCTTGACTTAGAATAAAGTCTCGAGTTTCACAGCTGTCCTCCTTTAGCTCGAGTTTTGTTTTGACAAACAATGCAACATGAATAATCGTGTTGGATCCAATAGCCCTTGCCTCATTGAAATTCTTCATTTTAATTACAATTTTGATAATCTATTAAAAAAAAATGAAGGACTGGATTTTAATTCAAATATAATATTGTATATATTCTTCCTTCAATTATACAGACACTTAAAAAGAAAAATAAATAAATAAAGTTTAATTTTTTAAAATAAAAAAGAAAGCAAGAAACTTAGCCAGCCCATTGGGCTTCTAATGTTTTTTTTTTTTTTTAATAATTATTCCTCGTCAAATTATTCTATCCTCCTAGAATGATAGGAGTTGTTTGTATCATTTCTTTAAATTTTTGTTTTTCATCCAAATAACTTAAAATATATTTATTTAGTTATTTTGAACATTTAATTAAAATTTAAAAGTTAATTTTATTATATACTTCGAAAAATCAAAGTTTCATATAGTTGAGGAAAGAAAAATCATAATTAAATAAAAACAAAAATAATAATAAAATTTGTATTTATTTGAACTAAATAAAACCTAAATAAATTTATAATCCAATCCATTTGTATTTATATATATATATATATTCAGGCTTCACACAGCAGAGATAAAGAATAAGAGAAGATGAGAAGGTTTAGCACGATTTGAAAAGGGCAAGCTTTAGTTGGATATGATATGGAATATTTTTCTATATATTATAGAATATGCTATATATAATATACATACTCTGGGACGGAAGAATAGCGGGACTAAAACTGTTGCCTGATCACTTGGCCACGCCCGAGTTTTTTTAACGTAAATGACTGATTTTTCAAATTTTCATATGTAATAGTTCGAGGTTGCCGTTAGCAGATATTGTTCGCTTTATCTCATTACATATCGTCATCAACCTCACGGTTTTAAATCGCGTATGTTAGAGAGAGATTTCTACACAGAATGTTTATTAGAGAAGAGAACAAAACATTTCTTTTAAGGATGTGAAAACAAACAATATCTAGCAGAAGCCTCAAATTATTACATCATATCTCATATTTATTGTACTAAAAAATCTTTAATCTATTTAATAAAAACTACATAATATTTTAACACCTTATTTAATCATTCCTGTTAGTAAAAAAAATACAATTTTTTTAATCATATTTACCAGTAGTTTGATTAAAAAAAATAAAAAAATAAAAATGGATTTGAAACTGGATTAACCCAAATTCAGAAATCCCGGCAAAGTCCAAACTATTTAATCTGAAAAAGAAAATATTAAATAAAAGAGAGAGGCCGTGTAGCGCAGATAGTAGAAAAGAGCTAAGCTTGTTTTTAATACAAAGAGTTGAGAGAGTCTTATTTTTCCCAGCAAAGCATTTCGAAACACTCATTTTTCCCTCTCTCTTATATCTCTCAAGAACAACAACAAAAAGAAAAAAAAAAAAAAGAAAAAAGAAAAAAAGAAACCCTAGCTCCTCTCGCTCTCAAGTTTCCCTCCCATTTCTATCCGATTTCTCCACATTCCCATCCGATTCGGTGCGTTCCTCTGCTTCCATGGACTTCAATTGAACTCAACTCTTCCGCACTTCGAAGGATCTGGAAGCTTAAGCTGCAAACCGACCAACAATGGCGTCTTCTGACAAGGATGTCGAAGAACAGCTTTTGGAAGCTGGCGATAAGATTGTTGACCCTCCTACTTCAGTTGAAGAACTTCTACCTCTTCTCGACGTAAGCCTTTCCGTTTTTTTTTTCTTCTCTATACTTTCTCAGCGGGGTTTTTTCTTTTTTAATTTGGGAATTTCCCTCAGGATTGTGTATTGTTGAATTAGTTTTTTCAACGTGGTAGAATGTTTTCTTTGAATTTTCTTTTTCTGTACCGTTTACGCTGACATTTCATGCTCGATTGGTTTCCTCTATACAATTTACCGTGTTCTGTCTTGTTTGCCATGTGTTGCAAGTTCCCGACTTTTTACCACATTCGAGACCCGCGTGTACAGTAATGTCTACATATTATACATGCGACTTTGAATAAAATTGCAGAATGAATTAGTTGTGCAGCTGGTCTTCTAATTTTATCGGTGGAGTGTGTTATTTTGTGGGCATCAATGGGAAATAAGTTACGGAAATTGTATTTGAAATCTGCTTGTGTTGCTTATGTGGTGCATAGTTATGGAAGAGAGCTTATGAGTTGTTCGAAGTATATATAGGAAGGTATTTCCAGTGATGGTTTGTGCATAGCACTGCATTGTTTTCTAATCTTGTAGCTGTCATTTAACTATTTCGCACCAGACACTATTAGGTTTGAAACAACACCTTTCACAAGATTTTTCTTACTTGAAGCCTCTTCGTTCGCACGAAAGAAAGAGGTTGAATTGATTCTTAGATATAATTCTTCTAGTTTCTTTTATACATCTGAAGGCTTTGGTTTTGAGTAGAACCACTTAAATTAGGAGATAATTTGATCCACTTCTATTCAAGTTTATCTACATAGTGCTGGTAGGCTGACATATTATAACTCCACATTGATCTAGCAGGTGGCATTAGTTAGAGTATCACTTTTGTTGGCTTGAAAGTAATGCGAATGTTTGAGAACTGTTCAGGAGGGAGTGGTTAAGATTGTATGTCTTCTTTAAGACTTCCAGGAATATGGATAATGGGTCATAATGTAATGAGGATTCATGCTTTTAAGACCAGTTATGTAGTTCAGTATTTCCACCTTATTTCTTTTTCTTTCCTGCTAATGTAATTACCCTCTCTCTTCTCTTTCCTTGCTTCGGGTGAATTGAGATATAATGAAATATTAGGTGCTTAACTAGGTCCTTGG